CCCAGACCCGGAGCGTGGGTAACCCACATGTCTTTCCTGGCCGCTCCGAGGGAAACCCCAAAGCTAGTGGCAGCTGGGCTGGGCGCCTTGAACCCCGCACTTGTTAAAAAAGTTCCGGCGCGGGCGCAGGGCTCAAAGCCTGTATCCGCCAGCATTTGGGAGGCCGAGACAGGGTGTACCACAAAGGTCAGGAGACCGAGACCAATCCTGGCTAACACGGTGAAAAACCCCGTCTCTACTAAAAAGAAGAATAGCAACAAAAAACTGTAGCTTGCGCGGCGACGTGGCGGCGCCTGTGGGTCCAGCTCGGTCCGGGGAGCTGAGGCAGGAGGATCGGCGTGAACCGCGGCGAGGGGACGAGAGGCTGCAGGAGCCGAATCGCGCACTGGCGATCCAGCCTGGGCGACAGAGCAAGACTCCGTCTCAAAAAAAAAAAATAAAAATAAAAAAAAAAAGGTCCCCCGGCTTTTCTGATGAGAAGCAGGGGTGAAAACTCCATGATGTTAACCCAGGAGCCTTCTCCCCTGACGGCTGAACCAGTGCAGAGGCGGAGCTGCCGGACGGGGAGCTATGGGGCAGGTGCTGGGGCTCCTCAGCTGCCTCTACACTGGGATCCCTCCCCTGGCCCCAGCTCAGGCACCGCCCCAGCTCTGCTTCCACTCAGGTGTTCCAGCATTTCTCACAGGTGAGACTTACTTGGAAGACAGGTGATGATTACAGCGAGACTCCTGGCTCTGCCATATCATCAACAGAGGCCAAGCCAGAGCCAGGGCGCTTGCAGGAGCTCACCACCACAAATCCAGCCCATGTCCTCTTTCACAAGAAGAGGGTAGCCCCACGCCCCGTGCGCACCTGACACCTGCCATCATTATCGCCATCATTATCGGAGTCACCGAAATGTCACTGAATCACAGTCACCCTGGTTTTAAGGCAATAACGGAAGCCGCTGTCCGGCCCAGCACAGTGGCACAAGGTTCCAGGTTACAGCGGGCTCTTTCTCATGCTCAGCCTTGGATCAGCCTTAGGTTTATTCAGTACAAGGCACAGGCACTCACCTCCACACCACAGTCCTCCTTCCTCTACAGTTGCCTCCGTCTTTTTTGGAACCAAAACTCCACACAACTCCCAACACACTGCAGTCCTCCCTGCCTGGTGCTGCCCGAGAACTCCTCGTCTCAGCCCACAACAGCGTTCTCTGCGCACCCCGAAGGCTACAGCCCCAGCCCCTTTGATAAAGAAATGTGCTCAGTGTCTGTTCAACCAAGAGCCCCTCAGACCCTTCCCACCCGACTTGCCTCAGCGTCGGGGCCACAGCGCCCAGGCCCGCAGTGCGCAGGTGAGAAGCACACACCTTACACCCAGGAGAGAGGCCTGACGACCGCCACAGGCCCTGAGGTGCAGGACCCTCTTCAGGCCCCAAACTATGGAGCCAGCCACTAGCTCAACAGGACTGACCCCAGAGTTTGTTTCTCAAAATAAATCAAGCAAGTGTTCCACTGCAAAAAGAAGGCAAGCAAAGAGAAACAGCCACACGCATCAGGCACAAGTCTCAGATCCAGTCCCTTATAAAAGCTCACTTCCACCGCTCAGCTCAACTCAGAGGTCACGGGATGTGCATCCACAGAAGCTCCAGTTGAAAGAACGAGGATGCTGTGAAATTCTGCTAAATGATCCCAAGTTCTTTTCTGAATCTGGAAGGAAAAGGAAAGAAGTGCCAAAAAGTTCACAGAAACAGTGCCGTGAACCATTTAACAGATGTTTCTTATCAAGAGCTGCAGGGGTGGGCCTGGACACTGCCACACTTCCACAGTGGGACCCTAGCCCAAACCAGCAGCCCAAGAGGCCGTGACACCACGCCTGAAACTTACCAGCAAGAACACTCTGAAAAAGCAAAGTGACAGCAGAGATACAAATGAACTAGCATATGTGGAAAGTACATTTAAACCATCAAACCAGAACCTACCATATTAACTCAGGACTTAAGTTCCTTTTAATAATCAGTCATGTTCAAACACTGACTTCCTTTCAGTGTAGATAAGGTTATAAATCAACTTGAAAATGTACTACATTTTGGAATTAAACCTTGTACTTGACAATCAGTGCTAAACACTAAACGAAATGTCAACACCCAAACAGGAAGTATGACAATGATTAGGAGAAAATCAGCCCACGCCCAGCCACACTGCCCACAGAGGCCCCGACGCCACTGACACCACACACACAGGTGCCCCTCAGCACGGAAGCCGAGAAAACCCTTGCCTGACAGAGCTGTGTTCTGTCTGAAACAAGTCGCTCTTGAAGAAGTGACCATTCAAGCGGGGGGCAGACTTATGAAAAGACCCTGCGACACCTGAGGGTGTGGCTGCTGCACTGCTGAGCGGCTCCAGGTTCAGCAGGTGGTGGAACCAAGGGTGTCCCAAGCAGCCACGACACATCGGACACTTGATGCTACATTTTCACACAGATTCCACACAAGAATCCGTCTTGCAGGCAAAGACACTGAAGGCAGGAGCCAGTGGGAAGCCACACAGGACCCCAGAGCCCTGCTCTGGCGCACACCCTTCGCAAAGATGCTGTGACTCAGGAAGGCACGGCCAGACAAGACACGGCTTGCACGGGGACACTAAAGAAATCACCTTGAGGAGGCGGCAGGTTCCCTGTGTGAAGACAGCATAAAAACCTAAAATGTGTCAACAGTTCTCTTATACCAATTGTCACTTTTGTAATTGGTTGAATGTACTAAAACTCCATTAAAAGTCAAGTAAGTTTTTTTTTTTTGAGACGGAGTCTCGCTCTGTCGCCCAGGCTGGAGTGCAGTGGCGCAATCTCGGCTCACTGCAAGCTCCGCCTCCCGGGCCCACCCCATTCTCCTGCCTCAGCCTCCTGAGTAGCTGGGACCACAGGCGCCCGCCACCGCGCTCGGCTAATTTTTTATATTTTTAGTAGAGACGGGGTTTCACCGTGTTAGCCAGGATGGTCTCGATCTCCTGACCTTGTGATCCACCCGCCTTGGCCTCCCAAAGTGCTGGGATTACAGGCTTTAGCCACTGCACCCGGCCAAGCAAGTTTTAAGGACAAATCCAAGACCCATCTGCTGGTACCTCCTGGAGGGCACGGAGAAGAGACACTGGGATGGAAGTCAAGTGGCATTTTTTCACATTCAAACAGAACCCCTCATTAATATGTGGAACACAGCAGAGTCTGACCCTCTCAATGCACTCGAGGCAGGGAAGAAAAATGTCCTACGTGTGTACTCTAAGGCCGTGTGTGAAGTCCACTGGAACTGAACTCAGAACGGAGACCTCAGGCTCTGGACTGCACACCTGTCAGCACCCATGCCTCCCAACCCTCCCTCTTCACACAGAGACCACCACTGAATCTGCCAGTAACAAAGGAGGTGGGTGGCAGGGAAGGTATTCTGGCAAAATCCTGAATAGCTAAACGGTAAATTACCGTATTTCAGAAGAAATGAAATGGCTTTGTAAACACTCAGGTTCACAAAAAAGGAAAGTGTGTTAGTTCTATATGTAGCAAAAAAACAAAATTCTGACACACAGTAATACAGCACGATTAGAATATTCTAAACAAAAATGTTAAATGAAAATCTTGATATTAAAAGGCAGTACAGTAGTGGTTTGAAAGAGTGTGACCCTGGAGAGCCCTGGGTTCAGAATTCATATTTCAGGTAATTTATTGGCTGTGGTGGTTTGCAATTACGGTTAACCTCTCTGTCTTAGCTGCGTATGAATGATCTAACGTAACGTGTCCAGTCCTGTCGGAGTGGGGCGTCACGACTCGAGTGGGAAGCTCACCTTGGAGTGGGCGAGATCACACGACAGAAAAATACAACAGGGTGCTCGTAACAGTACCGAACCATATCATATTAACTATTCTGTCTGCTCAGGGTAAGGGCCGCACATTAATAGACGGCACACATGAAGAACAAGGGAAAGAGTCTATGAGGAGACTTCAGTTACTCCTCACTCTTCCGCCACGCATTCTAAAAAGACAACACTGCGGGCGGAGCGGAGGCTAAGCCTGTATATCCCAGCACTTTGGGCGAGACGGGCGGATCACAAGGGTCAGGATGATCGGAGCCATCGCTGGACTAACACATGGGGAAGCCCTAGTCTGCTACTACGAAGAATTACAAAAAACTAGCCGCGGGTGGCGCGCCTGTATCCGTACTAGGACGGCTGAGGCGAGCGAGAGAATGGCGGTGAACCCGGAGGCGGAGCTTGCAGTGAGCTGGATCGGCACGCACTCCAGCTGGCGGACAGAGGCAGGACCTGTCTCAAAAAAAAAAAAAAAAAAAAAACACTGTGGCAGGCACTGGGCTGGGCAGGGAGGAAGTGCCTCCGACGAAGTTCCTGTCCTCAACAAGGGGAAGGGAACTGGTATTCCGGGGCATGTACTAGGTGTCAGAGACTGAGGTAGAAAATGATTTCGTGGCAGGGCACGGAGGCTCACACCTGGAATCCCAGCACTTTGGGAGGCTGAGGCAGGTGGATCCCTTGAGATCAGGAGTTCGAGACAGGCTGGCCAACTTGGTGAAACCCCATCTCTACTAAAAATAAAAAAATTAGGCACGCGTGGTGGCCGGCGCCTGTGGTCCCAGCTACTCAGGAGGCTGAGGAAGGAGAATGGCTTCAAGCCGGGAGACGGAGGTTGCAGCGAGTTGAGATCGCACCACTGCACACCAGCCTGGGTGACAGAGCGAGACTCCATCTCAAAACATAAAACAAGAAAATGATCTGCTTTCCTCCTCTTATCAGCAAAGTGCTACGTGTCCGACGAAGGAGCTGAGGCTGACAGCCAGAAAAGGCGCCCTGGGCACCAGTTAGGAAGGGCAGCAGGGACGGTCATGGCTACCCAGCATGTGGCCCCTGCGCCAGTTTCGGGCTGCTCAACTCTCTGCTGTCCTCACCACAAATCCAGCGGGTGGGAAGGCCGCACAGCACCCAGCCAGGCCCGCAGCAGGCATTCGAGAAACGTCTGTCCAACCAAACCGAACGGGACCCCTTCTCCAGGCGTCCCGGGCAATCATCCCAAAGTTGCCGGAGCCAGGCCAGGGCCTGTCCTAGAGGACAGTTCGGATAAAAACGCCCCTGGGAGGTGACCCTCACCCCAGGAGAGCCTGCAACACCCCGACACCCACCACCTCGCCGCCGGTCCCCCGATGAAGCGGGGAGGCTGAGGTGCTGTGACGACCCAACAGTCTTGGCCTGGGCTTATAAACTAGGAAAGTCTAAAGACGTATTCTTCTGAGTACCAAAATATAACTGACGAAAGATGGAACCTCTTAAAATTACATTACCAAAGATAGGTGCTAGGTAGCAAGTTCTCAACCGTGTGTAGTCTGCTAAGGTTTATAAATTAAAAACAAAAACAGAGCCCAGGGGAATGGACGAGGGCCCGCGGGCACCCTCCCTGGGAAGACACAGGCCTGCGGGACAAGAAGAGCAGGCTCGGAGTGGGGCTGCGTCTCCCTGCCCTTCCTCCCGGCGGAACTCGCCCTCCTCACCTACAGGATCGCCCTAAATGCGTACGAAATCCTTCCCTGTTCCCGGTGAGCTGGTGAGAGAGGGCGAGTCTGCCAGCAGGTGCGTCCGTCCCCACTTCCTGCTCGGCGGGGCAGCAGCGGGGCCGGGGGCCTCGGGGAGCCGGGTCGCGGGTCCCGGGACCGCAGTTGCCGGGCGACCGCAGGGGGAGGGGTGCGGGGGCCGCGGGACCCAGGCCCAGGCCCCAGGCCCGGTCGTAACTTTCCTCCCAAAGTTTTCCCGGGGCGCCAGGCTGCGGCCTAGGCCGGGCGCGCCTCCCTGTGGGGGTCGAGGCCGGGGCCGGGGCTGGAGACGGCCTGCGGACCCGGGTCCTGTCCGGCCCGCCCTCCCCTCCCCTCCCCACCCCGGCCCCAGCCCGCGGCCCAGGTCCCGCAGCTCGCCGGGGTCCCGGGCCTTCGCGTGGCGGCGGCGGGGGCCACTCACCTGGACGCGGGTCCCTCGGTTGCCGGCCGAGCTCGTTGCCGCCCCGCCCCCGCCCCGCAGGCCCGCGACCCACTGACACCGAGGCGGAAGTGCGGCCCGCCGCCTCGCCGACTGACAGCCCGCGCCTGCCACTGGCTGCGCCCGGCGCCGCCGCGTCGGCCGCCGCCCGCCCAATCAGCGCCCGGCCCGAGGCTCGCGCCGGGGGGCGGGACTATGCTAATCCCTTCGCGGAGGGGCCTCTACCTGTGCCCCGCCCACGTAGCGGAGTGACGGCGAGGACAGCCAGTCACAGCAGGAAAGAGGCGGGGTTATGCAGCCCCTGAGCCAAAAGGGGAGGGAGGGAAGGAGGAAAGGGCGTGGCTGCGGAGAGCAGAGTTGACAAACAGTGAGTCAGGTGGCCCGGGGCGTGGGCGCTCCGCCCGCAGGTGCATTGCGTCCTGGCGGCGGTGCGGGCCTGCGAGGCCCACCTCTCGGCTACTCAAAGCCCGGGGGGCCTTTTCCCACAAATGCTGGGGACCTTGCGATAACTGGCTCGTAGCTGCTCCCACTGTCCTACCAAATCCTGAATATCCGCCTCCTTTGCATGCCATTTACCGCCAACCAAAATCCAGCGCCAATTTAGCCCTCCAGCTGCATCCCTGATCGTTTCACTACCATACTTAAAGCCCTTTGGACTCCCACTGACCTACAGTGGCTCCATGGTTAAGCCCAGAAGTTCTGGAATCAGACTTGGAGCTTGCGTTCTTTACCAGCTGCGTGGATTTGGACAAATTAATTAACCTCTCTGAGTCTGTGTGCACCCGGAGTTTCATTTGCAAACCAGGGTTCCCCTGTCATCATCTCATTTAAGTCATGGGTCTGGTTTGAGGTGAGTGGAGTGGCATGAACCAGGCTGGCTACCTAGAGTCCCAGCAGTTGGTTTAGGGGTCAGCCTGTGACCCAGTTCTAGCCAAAGAGGCTCAGTCCTGGGACTTTTGCTGTAGGGTCGGAGTTCAGACCAGAGGGGAAGCTGAAGTCAAATGACTCTCCCATCTGCCCACAGACTTCTTCAGAGCTGGGTTAGGTGAGACAGCGAAGGGGCCACTCTTCCACATCCCACCACCAGAGAACAGGGCTGCGCGGGAATGAAGCCAGCCCAGAGGAAAGCGGAAGCAACCACGGCCAGGTCACGTGGACCCTGCTGCACCTCAGCAGGTGCCTTCCTTGACTTTTCAGTTATGTGAACCACATGCTCGTTTCTGCTTCAGCCCGTTTGAGGTAGAGCCAAGAGTCCTGGGCTCCCTGTGGCCTTGAGAGCCCTGGCGAATGACCCATGACCCCACAGCGCGTTCTGCAGCAGAGCCAGCCCCCGTTGGGCCTCTGCACCCCCTCCTCAGGCCTTGTCCCCCCACTTCCAGGCTGCCCCTAGCAGGACCGTGGGGGCAGGGACAGGCCTTCGCCCCATCTGTGGCCCCGTGGCAGACGCGGGTACTCTCTATCAATGTCAGGGCATGAGTGAGCCAATGAACGCGCCCCTGTGGCAGGGGCGGGGTCCAGACCACATCTCTGGGCCCAGCAGGGCCATTCTCCCCCACGCCAGGGACTGGCCCCACTCACTGGTGGGCCACTGTCAGCCGGCGCCAGTAGAGACGTGCCAGGACTAGGAAGGAGCTAGGTGAGCCTCTCCTGAAGGGAAAACGGGGAGGAGGGCGGGCAGGCCTCAGAAACAAAGGGGTTGCCATGGTTACCTCTGAAGAAAGCGACTCCAGCCGGTGAAAGGGAAGGGAAGGCATTCGGCCCCCAAGCCAGGACAAGGACGATGAGGCCAGTTGCCACGGAGATGACCGCACTGCACAGTTTCCCCTGTGGGCCTGGCCAGGGCCAGCGCAGGGTCCCAGAAGCCCACCACTCTCCATGCCCCTCACCCTAAGTCTATAAGACTCTAACCCCTGTGCCCTTGAGGGACGCCAGCCTGCCTGCCCACCCCTTGACCATGAGCTCTCCAGTGAGGGCAGCCTCAGAGGCCCAGGTAGAAGGACCCTCTCATCTGCCCAGGGACCACCCCAGGGCCAAGCAGGGAGATCCACCCTGGCCTTGGCGGTGGGAGATGTGATCTCAGATGGCCTCTGGGCTGGAACAGAGGTTTCACCCCTCTTCACAGATGCAGTAACTGAGTTCCAAGGGTAGTCTGCCATCAGCCAGCGCTGCTGGAGACGTTCCACGACTGGGAAGGGCACTTCCTCCCTGGGGCCAGTTGCTGGGACTAGGCGAGAATCCTCCCTCGGTTGGTGGGTAATAAGGAGGGTGCCTTGAGACCAACTTAGGCATCTTCATCATAATATTTGCTAGGTCACGAGGCCAATTCGAGAGGCACAGTTCTGCAAGGATGAAAGATGGGAGTGGAGAAGACAACAAAGATGGACGAGCTGGGGCCATGATGATGAAGACGATGATGATGATGATGGTGGCCGAGTGCCCTGTGATTTACAGGCCCATGTGGTTTCATGTTTGCAGCAGCCAATCAAGTGGGTACCAGGTGCTATCATTCCCACTTTACAGATGAGCAGACTGAGCCCCAGACAGGTTAAGGGACTCCCCCAGCCCTGCAATGAGGAAGGGCCCAGCACAGCTCCAGGCACAAGGAGGGACTCCAGGCATGGGGAGGTGTGGTGGACCAGGCCTGGCCGGGAGCTTGTCCACAAGGCAGAGCTCCACCCAGGCTCCCGGACCGGGATCCACACATGAACAACAGGCCCAGGAGTTCCCATGGCTGTGGCTGGTGGACCCCCACACATGCTCTCCAGAGCCTGAGAAATGCTCATCCTGCAGGTGATTTGGGGGGGTCTGCTCCCACCTGCACTGCTCTCAGACCAAATTTCTGCTTCCTGACAGAATTTCTAGGATCCTCCCTCTGTCCTCTTAGCCGAGGAGGGGAGAAGCTCTCTCCCTCCCTCACCACGGGGCAGGTCACCAGTGGGAGGATTTCATGACCCACATGCCTCCCAGGGCTGGCGTGTGGGGTCCAGCGGTCCCAGCCACATCTATGTCATCCCGCTTCCTTTCCCCTCACTGAGAAAGAGGCGGAAGAGAGGTTGTTGCTCCCACCTTTTGGATGGGGAAACTGAGGCCTAGAGCACAAAAGCAGCTTGCCCAGGGCCTGGCAGCACCAGTCCCGCCCACGACCCACCGCCCTTTCCGCCGCTCCACTCTTACCTCCTCCCCCAGGTTTCTGGGTCTGGGTTTATCTCTTTATCTAGGTCTGCACCCACAGCTGCCCCATTAGATCAAACAGGGGTTGGCTTCCAGGAACGCCGGGTGCCTTGGCATTGCTGGCCTGGCTGGCAGCTGCTGGTTGGTGAGCCCCGGGTGAGGCTGTCTCCTCTCCCCAGGCACTCCCCAGGCCTTTAGAGAGGACATTCTCCCACTCTCTTTTATGGAAAGCCATGGAATCTTCTGTGTGGATGCAGCCTGGGCAGCCAGAGAGGGGTGGCCACTGAGGCCTGGCCCTGGCCCTCACGTGGCCGCAGCTGACCCCTCCCCACCGCAGCTCTCCAGTCTCCTCTGCAACGTGACAGCCCTGGCTTCTCTACCGTTGGGAGGAAGTATTTTTAGTTTTGAACCCACCACGTGAAGCGAGACAAGTTATCAATAGCAGCAGCAAAGGGCTTTTTCTTTCTCTTTTTTTTTTCCCCATATCTTTGGGACCTGAACAATCTGCACCCATTAAATTCTGCCAAAAGAAAAAAATAGTGTTCCTCTTATAAACTTTTTACCCCACAGCTTCCTTGCTGCTGCAGCTTTGCAAACCCACTCTTCCTGGGGTGACCCCACCTGTCTCCGCAGCCCCCCTCTCCACTCCTGGGCACTGAGACCTGCCCGGGAACAGGCCCATCTGAGCAGAGGGCCAGCGTGGGGCTCAGGCCACAGCTCCAGAGCGGGTGGAATGAGGAGCTGGGGAGAGGGGAGAAGGCCCCCAGTTTCCCGCTCACAGAGCTGGCAGCAGCCGCAGCCTCTCCTGAGTGCTTGCTGCATGCCCAGGGCCAGGCCCAGCTCCTCTGAGTGCAGCAGCTCAGGGACACGCCCCACCCCACAGTGAAGGGCGGAGAAGGCGGCCTTCCCAGAGGTCTTTCCGGCTGTAATTCCTTGTTCTGGAGGAAGGGGTTCCTCAGTCAAGTGGGTTTGAGAAAACTAAACAAAGTGAACAGGGGCCCTCCCCAGCCTTAGGCTTCCCAGCGCCCGCACCACTCAGGGGCACTTGGAGGCTCCAGGGCCCAGGAACCAGTGCCCGCCCCACTCAGGAGCACATGGAGGCTCCAGGGCCCAGGAACCAGCGCCCGCCCCACTCAGGGGCACATGGAGGCTCCAGGGCCCGGGAAGGGCCTGATGCAGACCCCCGGCATATGAGGATGGAAGCCCTTTTTCTATGAAGTTTCTTTTTTTTTTTTTTTTTTTTAGGGGCCCTGTCGCCCAGGCTGGAGTGCAGTGGCGCCATCTCGGCTCACTGCAAGCTCCGCCTCCCGGGTTCACGCCATTCTCCTGCCTCAGCCTCCCGAGTAGCTGGCACTACAGGCGTCCACCACCTCGCCCCTCTAGTTTTTTGTATTTTTAGTAGAGACGGGGTTTCACCGTATTAGTCAGGATGGTCTCGATCTCCTGACCTCGTGATCCGCCCGTCTCGGCCTCCCAAAGTGCTGGGATTACAGGCTTGAGCCACCGCGCCCGGCTCTATGAAGTTTCTTGCAGGACACTGGAGTGGCTTCCTGCCTTGCTGGGGGAAGCATTTGAGCCAACATGGCTGCCTGCCCTTTAGGACTGGTTAGAGCTGCATTCCTGAGAAAGCTCAGAATAACAGAGGCTTTGACAGGGTAGAAATGTACTTTTCTCTCAGGTGACACAGGCCTAGGCTGTCCGGCTGGCAGGGTATCATGCATCCTCAGGGACACAGCTCCTACCTTACTGTATCACTCTCCTAGTGCTGGCTTCCAGCCTCAGTGTCACCTCCTGGCCCAAAACAGCTGCTGGTGCTCCAGCCATCACAAGCACAGCTGACCAGAAAGGAGGAAGGAAAAGAGGAAGAGCAAAAGTGCTGCCCCCAGATGAGTCAGCTCCCTTTGAGGATCTGTCCCTGAAGACACACCCAGCACTTCTGGGTGTGTCACATCTCACTGGCCAGAACTCCATCCTATGTCACTTTTGGTAGGATAGCAGCATTTTAGCTAAGTGCATTGCCAGCCTAAACAAAACATGGGGCTACAGGGAGCAGGTTAGAGATGGCCTCACAGCCAGGCCTAGACCATCCCAGGCCCAGAAATGTGGACATCTCCAGAAGTGACCCATAACTGCCCTGCCTCAGAAGAACCGACAGCCGCAGATGCAAGACAGAGCACCTGGTACACATTCCCTGGCATGCCTGTGGCACGAGGGCTGTGCTCCGACCCCATGCCCCAGTGTGGTGCTGCAGTGGCCACTTCAGTGTTGGCCCTGGAGTTTCCCTCTTCCTGGCTGCGCCCTGACTGATGGGAAGTGGGTTCCTGCTCCTTCTCGAAATACCTGTTGAAAACCTGCTGCACTCTGCTGGCCCCACCCTGGGCGCTGGGGTACCTCCAGAAGCAGGGCACTCACCCCAGAGGCTGCTAGGCAAAGGGCTTTCCTAGCGTGGGAAAGTGGGGGACCCTAGGGAATCTCTGCACCCTTCCTGAGGGCCTGTGTAGGGTGGGCAGGGTGTGGGCACATCCCTGCAGGGAATGGGAGGGGCAGGTGGGAGCCGGAGGAGAGACAGCTGGGCTGGGTTAGATTTAACTTGCTACGGGAGCCAAGTGCGTTGGCTGGAGCCACTGGCTGGGCCTCAGTGCCAGGGGATCCGCCAGGCACGGGGGTGGGAGGGGCAAAGTTTAAATATGCCTGAGGAGCCAAGATGGGGGCAGAGATGGGGCCCAGGTTGAGGAGCTGCCGGGGGCCTGAGGGCGGCACCATGGGTTTTCCTCGGGAGAGCCCAGCAGCACGCTTGCCCTCAGCTGGAGCTGGGGATGGGAGTTGGGTAAGAGACAGCCAGCCAGAGATCTGGGGTTCTTCTGGGGATGGGTGTACTCCCCCAGTTGCACCCCGGGAGAGGAGGTCAGGGAGTGGGTGGAGGAGATGGCTGGCGGTCTATGCGTCAGGGGTCACAGCAGGGCACTGCATGCCCAGCCCAGTCCTCATGGTCATGGTAGAGAGGGGTGACCCATGAGGCGGAGCTATACCCACCGGGAGCTTCATGCAGGGCTCACAGCACCCAACCTGTGCTGTCCCATGGCACCTAAGGTTAATTTACCACTCTACCATTCCCATCTTGAAATTCTTCATCATCTTGGGGCAAGGAGCTCACATTTTCACTGTGCGGAGGACCTGGTGAATCCTGCAGCCATCCTGGGCGAGGAGGGTGCAGCCCAGGAAGCAGGGTCCGTGGGGTAGCTGGTAAATTCTGCAGCTGTCCTGGGCGAGGAGGGTGCGGCACTGCAAGCAGGGCCCATGGGGTTTCAGCAGTTGCATGCAGTCAGCCAGGTGATGCCATCCCTGCCAGGCATGGTGACAGGCCAGGCGAGCAGGCTGGGCCTGTTCTGGGGAAGAGATGGAGGGGCTGATAAGATGCCCTGTGCTGGGCTCCTGTGCCTGGTGCCAGCCTGCACAAGCTGGGGGAAGGCAGTCTGCCCAGGAGTCCCATGCCCCAGGGCTGGGAGATCCCTGGGGCCAGGGAGGACCATGCTGGCCGATGCTCCCACCGGCTGGCTGGCTTCAGGAAATAGGGGTTCAGTAATGCCCAGGGCATCTGCAGGAGGTGGGTGTGGGGCAGTCTGGGCAGATGGCTGGGATTTGGGGTGGTACCTGGAGCCCATAGGGGTCTATACCCGGCCTTTGCTGATGGAGGTCCTAGGTGCTGATGGAGGTCCTAAGTGGGCCACAGAGGCACTCGAGCCTCAACTTCCTGGGGGCTTGGTGAGGCTCAGAGGAGGCAGAGCAAGGGAAAGCTGTTTGGAGGGCGTGCGAGCATTGCCAGGGCTCTGCCCAGCATCCACCACATATCCTAGGAACAGCCCTGAATCCTCCTTTGGGAACTACCCATAGGTTGGTACTAGGCTGAGCCCATCTCTTGCCCCAGATAGGGCATGTGACTGGGACCTGGGCATCACTCATCGCCTGGGCATCACTCATCGCCTGGCCATAATCAGTCAGATCATACTTGGGCCCTTCATGGACCCCAGGTCTGAGCTGGGATGTCAGCCTGGAGGTGCCATGCCAAGGGTAAGTGCTGCCTGAGAGGATGGCAGGCTGAGCCCAGGGTGGGGACACCAGTTCTGATGGTAGCCATCGGGCTCCTGGATCCAGCCATGCCTGAAGGAGATAGCACCACCAGTGTACTCTCAGATGCAGGCAAGGTTTCCATCCTGGTAAATGAAGCATCCTGAGCTATCTGCCCACCTCGCCGCACAGGGAGAGGACGGCCACCTGTCCCAACCGGTCTCTGACTCCCTCCTCTCCTCATCAGGGCATTCTGGGCTGGGGTCACCCTTCAGAAGAGCACACAGGGGGGCACTCAAGATGCACACCAGGGAGCCCCAGATGTTTCCACCAGGGTCTTTGTGCCACTGGCTCGTCCAGTGCTGCACAGGTGGGACACAGAGCCCAGGGGATGGAGGAGTTGTCCGGTGACCTCACCGCACATCCCTTGGGCACCCCCATCTCTGCTTGGATCAGTTAAGCAACTTCAGAAAAAGTGAGAGGATGATGGGACACCAGGAAGAGGCAGATCCAGGTGAGGTTGGCCAGTGTAGGGCAGGGGGCAGGGGGACGCACCATGGTAACAAGCGCCCCGGGGACGTGGACAGCCCTTCCCCCAGGGCCATGGGGAGAGCCCAGCTGGCCCCACCATGTCCTGCAAAGGCAGCCTCTGGCCTGGGTCTAGGAGCTGCGCCTCCATCGTCCTCCATCAAGGCCCGGGTCTGGCCCCTGCTGCCCCCTGCTCATGCCCTTGGTCTGGCCCAGGCATCCAGCTGCCCCCTGCTTATGCCCTTGGTCTGGCCAGGGACCTCGGATTCCCAGCTGCAGCCGGTATGCACCCATGCCACATTGGTGGGTTCCAAGGAAAGCGACATGAGGCCCTACAAAGCTTTTCGGTCCCAGGCACTCTCCCCTGCTCCCCAGGGGACAGCCCAGGCGGGACAGCTTGTTCCCTTGTTTTCTGGTTTTGTGTGTGTGTGAGTGGAAGTGTGTATGGCAGAGTGTGTGTGGGTGAGAGTGTGAATGTGAATGTGTAGTGTGTGTGTGGAATTGTGGGAGTGTGTGTGGAAGTGTGAATGAATATGTGTGTGAATGGAAGAGTGTGGAATTGGAAGTGTGTGTATGAGAGTGTAAGTGTGGAAGTGTTCGTGCGTGTGAGTGGAAATGTGTGTGAGAGTGTGTGTGGAATTGGGGGAGTGTGTGCATGTGTATGGAAGTGAATGAGTGTGAAATGTTTTTTGGTGTGAGTTGGAGAGCTATGGATTGTGTGGGAATTGGGGAGTGTGGTGTGCATAATGTGGTGTGAGAGTGTGAGTGTGGAAGTGAGTTTGTATGTGTGTGTGAGTGTGTGAGTGGAAGAGTGTGGAATTGAGGAGGAAGTGTGTTTGAGAGTGTGTGTGTGGAATGAGGGAAGTGTGTACATGTTTGAGTGTGTGTGTGTGTGGAATGGGGGAAGTGTATGTGTGTGTGGAATTGAGAAGTG